CTGAGGCCCGAGGGCCACGGTGCCGCTGGCAGCGGCGATCCCGGGTGCTGTGCGCCACAGTCCCGTACAGCGCCGCGGGTAGGGTACAGCCTGTTTCCAGCAGACAGAGGAATACACACCGACAGGCATTGTCTGATTCCATGTCTATTTTAGATTTCCTTTTGATTATTTGATTTTGTAAATAAAAAGTTAGACACCTTGTTGCTATGCATTTTTTTTCCCCACAGATTTCTTTTCAGCAGCAGGCCAAAGCGCCCTGCTGAGATCGGTGACGCTGCAGCATGCCACGCTTCATGGCACAGTATTTGATGTCTCTTTCAAATGCTCCAAATCGTGGAGGTTGTAGTTTCTGCTGACATTGGCAGCTGATGTTAGAAATTCTCCAAGGCTGCAATTATTCCAGCAGGGCTCTAAAGTGCTAGGAAAGCACTTCCAAATGTTGCATTGAAGGTTATAAAAAGGTACTGGAAGAGTCGGCACACTTCTGACAATCCCAGCCGATTTGTGTCTTGCCTTACAACCTTCACCCTTGCTAAGACCTACCCCTTGTCTAAGCCCTTCCCTCACTCCAAAAAAACATCTAATTGGTTTGAGGCTTGTCAGAGGTTGTCTAAGACTGACTGCAAGGCTTTTCTGACTGCGGTAGGTTCAAAATTAGCATCAGTCTTCGCATAGAAGTGTTCAAGTCTCAGGAAAAGAGCTGACAGTCAAGTATTGGAGAAGATAATAATGAGCACAGGAATAATGAGCTATCAGCAACTGTCTTGAAAGGCCAGAATCCCACTGCCGTTCTCCTCTTCCTCAGTGCCTGAGCAGGACCGAGGGCCTGTGAGCCCGTCACTACCAGTCTGGGTGCACCTCCTAAAGCAAAAGCTTCCCTTCTGTGGCCTGAAGAATGCACAAACCCATCAGATGATCCAAAGATTCTCCTAGGTAGGGCTGGGCACAGAGCCTGCAGAACCTGTCTACCCAGAACAAAAGGTTAAAAGGAACATTGCTTTCTGTGGCAAGATGCTTTCCATGTCTCCAGACAAAACCACGTGCTGTGGACTCAATGCCGATGCAGGGAAAAGGCACAAAGGGCCAGCAATGCCTTGTTTTTCCTGGGTTTGATCTCTGCCCTGAGGGTTCAGCCCACATAGATTCACAGCCCCACAGTGGCACCGAGTCCGCGAGCTGTGACAGCCTTGGTCTGGAGCACACATGACAGAGGGACTGCTGGGGGATCAGAATGTGATCTTCAACTTTTGCTGACACAACAGGAACCTTTTAATGTGAAGAGCTGCGAGCTGAGCTGGTGGAAGCTGACATCTAACCAGCCACAGCTGCCCAGGAGCAAGGCAAACAGCAGGCAGAGGGAAGGAAATGGCTTGAGCCTGCCTTGGGCACGGGCAGGTTAGTGCGTGCTGTATAAAACAGTGCAAAGGCTGGGACAGCCTCACGCTGCTGTTAAGACGGCAACAGGAGCACCTCTGTCTGGGGAGTCCGTGCAGGACAGCTGTGCAGTCCTTCAGGTCACACGGCGGACTGACAATCTCCCCCAGCACAGCTCTGCCTGCCTTCCCTGCTCCACCAGCTGAGCACCAACAAATTTGTTGCAGGCTTTGCTGTAACTGGAAGCAGTGGTTGTGCTGGAAAATGCAGCTCTTTGGTATGAGGCTCCTTTAAGGGAGTTGCAGGAAGGAATTTTAAAAAAAAAAGAGAAGTGGAGTGGTTACCAAAGCTGCTAACCACAGTGCCAGGGAGCCTTGCAGGGCACCAGGACAGCCCAGCGTCACATGCCTAACGCATCCTGTCTCCAGACTTCCTCGCCCGCAATGTACGTGGCTTGCACATACAGACTGTCATTCAGCATCAGGAAATCTGCGTGAAACAAGGGAGAAAGGAAGCAGCTGTCAGAGAAATGGAACAGCTGAAGCTGTCTGGGAGGAGCCGGGCTCAGTGGGGAAGAGCTTCTCCCCAGCCCAGAGACGGCAGCAGGACAGCAGTGTGCCATCCTTGCTATGGCAGCTCTGCTCCATGCTTGGCTGAGATGTGGGGCTCTCTCCAGAGGACTCGCACAACACCACCAGCATCCAAGGGAAAAAACACTGGAGCAAAAGCCCAGAGCAAATCCCAGGCAGAGCGAGTCTCTCTGCAACTCCCGCTGAAGCAAGGGATGAAGATCTGTTCGCAGCAGCTCCTGCTTTGCTCCAGCACCTGGGAGCCCTCCCACCATTGTCCCCATACCACTACCTGCTGTTCCAATACCAGTACCTGCATCGGAGTCGTAATTTAGCGTCCCCTTTTTGTGTTCAATCCCCAGGAGCTGGGCGGGATGCAGAGATGCTGCCTCCAACGCAGTCTCTACGGAGCACCCTTGGACAGAGAAGGAGGTTGGCAATTAGGGTGGCAAACAGCCATTGTCAGAGCAGCTGAAACCCGCCTGGCTAAGGCAACTGTCAGCCTGGCAGGGACCTGAGCTGGAACACCCCCACCGAAGCCAGATGGAGCTGCAGAGGAGAAACATCCCTATGGGAGACACCAGGAAGAGGAGGACGGAACACCAGAATATGGGGAGGGGAAAATAATTCACCTTTGTGAGAAAAGAGCAGGAGGCTTCACTTTTCATTGGTGCTATGGGTTAAAATGAAATCTCCCCTCAAAAAGGTGCTCATCTGAGGCCAGTGCCACCGATCCGAGCCCTTCCCATCATGTCTCAGGCAAGAGGGAACGGTTCTTGGTGGAGCGGACACTGCTGGCAAGAGCGAGACCTCTTCCAGAGTCAACACACGGAGGGAGCAGCAGCCTGTGGCCAAGGCTCACTTACCTGTGGCTTCTTGGAAGTGTCGCACACATGTGTCCATGGTCGCCACGCTACCGCTCAGGGTCTTTGTGCCTGGGAGAGGAACAGGATGGCACTGAGCAGGTCCACAACTCATAGCAAGGGTAAGTGGGGTGGTGGGAAAGCATAACATGACCACAAGGGGTAGAAAATCTGGGCTGCGCAGGGAGCAACTGGAAGGGCCCGAGTGACAGAGAGAAGCGAGAGAGAGCCCGCGCTGGCTGCACAGGGAGAGGTGCTGGGATGTCACCCCACAGATCCCCTGTACGACCAGCCGGGCTGGGTGAAACTCTAGCTCACAACACAGGCACCTGCTGCCCGAGAGAGAGGAAGGGAGCTGAGAATGGAATGATCCTTCTCTGAAATACCTTCCCAGCCTCCAACTGCTTGCAGCTTTAGGGAACTTAGTTAGCAAGGAGTGGTGGTGGTATAGTAAAGACGAGGGACAATAAATATCTGTGGGATATGCCCTGTCCTTTCAGACCCCGCTGGAACCTCTAGCATCCATGATACTGGGCAATGAGGCTTTCAGAGGTGTAGATAGCTACAAATTTTCAGATTAATCCTCACTCCACCAAGATGGGGCACTTCCACTCTTCACAAGGTGCCTCATTCTCCTCATGGCCAAGTCACTGTAAAGCCATCGGGCACCAAAACCCAAGGGGGTGGCACCTCGCACCCACAGGCACTGCAAGATGTGCTGAGCTCTGCAGGACCGGGCACAAGCGGCAGTGCTGTTCCCAGCGCTTTAGCAAGAGGCACACACCTGCAATGTAGGTGTTGAGTCCATCGATCTCCACCACCTGCTGACCCAGTGTGTGCCGACCCGGTGCCAGCCCCATGCCAGCGATCGCATCCGTCACCAGCACCAGGCCTGAGGAACGCAAGGAAAGAGGCTGCGTTAGCTCTGCAGCTGATCTTGCCGCAGCTCTGAGCGCTGCCCTCCCACAGAGGGGCAAAGGTGTCTCTGGCCACGTCCAACAAAAGCAAGAGGGCCGGTGGATCAGCACACGTGGCTGTGACCTCTTCAGGCAGCGAGGGCGGCATGCCACAGCACTTGTGCGAGGGTTTTGTGGGAGATGGCACAGCACTCGGGATGGCTGGTGACGCCGTGTGGGCCCAGCGTGGCTCACCTTTGGGGTGGGCTCGGTGCGCAATTCGCAGGGCGGCAGGGTTGGTGTGGATGCCATCAGAGATCATGCCGTAGAAGACCGTCCGTTTTTTTCACTCGTCAGCAGCCCCACAATCCCAGGGTCGCGGTGGTGGAACTGCTCAAGGGGAAAGAGGACAAGCTGTGGAGCATCACCAGGACTCGTGGGCTGAGACCCCTCCCGTCCGGGAACGCAGCCGCCATCTCCACTAAACTGCCTCGCAGCTGGGCACTCCGTCCTTTTCCAGACAAATCTGGGCATCTTCTCACATTGCAAGAGTCTGCTACAGCCTTGACTCTCTTTTAGATCAGGCAGTAGGAATGTGAAGCCAGAGGTTTGGTGCTGAAACCTCATGAAACAAGCTGGGGAGAATATGCATCTGTGGGGAGCGGGAGAGAAAGCACCGAAAGCAACACCAGGGCAGGGCGAGTGCCCGCGGCTACTCACTGGCAACATGGCGTTGAAGAGGTGAGTGATGAAGGTCGCACCGTGCTGCACAGCCTCCTCAGCCTGGGAGAGATTAGCCACCGAGTGACCTGGGAATAAAGACCGACGCGTGATTTTTCTGCCTTTTTTTTCCTACAGGAAGGAAGATGCTCTGTCATTAGGACTCGACTCTGACGCCCCAGCCTGGGCTGAGATGTTTAAAGGCTTTATGGAGAGGTGTCAAGGGAGCAGAGACAGTGGGGACTTTGCCAAGACAGAATATGGAGATAAAACTACCCAGAAAGAAAATTCTGCTTTCCCCAACACGGACAGCAGCTGTAATGCTCTGTGGGCAAACTTTGCCTTTCTGTGGTTCTTTGCTTTCTGTGGCTGTGAGATAAGAGATGCTCTGCTGTATGAATGCCCTTCTCACTTAAGGTTTCCTTTCACCCTTGATTTCTTCAGTGACCTGAGGCAGCGAGGCATTTCTGAAGCAGAGGACACGCAGTATGCAGGCAGTCTGAAGTCAGTGGCCCACAAGGCAGTGCAGGGAGACGTCTCGTACGGCGCTTCCGGCTGAAAAACGGAGTCATCCAAACTCAACAGTAACCTTTGGAAAACCGTTTCACCTGTCAAATAAGGCCTAAAGCAGTTGGACTTCAGAGTTTGAACCTTTTCGCGTTGTCAGCCCCCAGTTGTGTCTTTATTCCAGTAAGACTTCTCTTCTTTCCTGGGTTTGAACAGCACCAAATGCTACCTTGTGTTAAACTGCAGGGGCTCCTCAATCAATATGAAGCTTGGCCCTTACCGTACAAAGGGCAACAGATTCACAGCATCAAAGCGAGGTCTCCATTTGTGACAGGTCTGTCACCTCCGCATAGGCCAGGCAAAAGAAAATCCCACCCCGTCCAGTCACACTGAGACACCATTAGAGATGCTACAGCCCCGAGAGAGGCACAGGGGGACAGAGCCTCCCGAAGCCTCCCCCTCCCCCTCCCCAGCCCTTACCGAGCGAGACACAGATGCCCCGCTTGGTGAGTTCCTGGATCACCTCACTGCTCCTCTTCATCTCTGGGGCCAAGGTGACTATCCGGACGTAGTCCAGGGACCCATAGGTGGCAAGCAGGTCCTGGAAGGCGCCTGCCTCGAAGGTGCGGAGGCAGTGCTCTGGGTGTGCCCCTTTCTTCTCCTTGCTGATGAACGGTCCTTCCAGATGGACCCCTGCCCAAACAGGAACACAAAGCCATGACCCTTCCTCTCCCCGCCACGGACCAAGAAACCTGCTGTGTCTACCCTGCTCCACTCAAGCTCTTGTCATTCTCCTGCAGCAAAACCCATACTTCAAGTAACTCTGAGCTGAGCTCAACATGGCAAAAGATGCAGCGCTGGCAACTGGTCAAGCTAAGCCACTCCACTGCCATTACCCTGTGGGGTCCAGAAGGGCTGGGGCAGTGCGGGTACGATGGTGGAGATCACAGAAAAGGCCAGGGACAGGTTGAGTGAGAAAGCAGGTCTTTGCCTGCCTGTGCAGCCCTCCCACTGTGAGAGCTCCAGCCCCCATTTGTGCTGTCTCTACAGCATCTTCTTTCTCCTTAACAAGGAAAAAGATAATTGCCCTCCTAGAGTAGCACCAGAGGATAGTGAGGGACAAAACCACTTACCGAGGATACCTGCTCCGTGGGCTCCACCATTTCTTATACTGAACTGAGGGAGAACCTAGAGAAAGGGGTTCATCAGACACAGCACCCCAGCCATGGCACCCCAGCCTGCCAAAACAGACCCAAACCTCGGCTCCAGAGAGAGCTTTGTAGCTGGACCACTTGGGACCGTCAGCCAAACACAGCTCGCAGAGAAAAATCCAGCTGCAAGCCCCATTGTGCACAGCTGGCCTGGGAGACATCGCTGTCTCAGAGGTATGAAAGGTTGAGGGCAAGAAACCCAGGGGTAGAGTCCAGCTCCTCCTGCCCGTGGCTTTTCCACCAGGGCAGCTATCCCGCTCTCTACAGTCCCAGCCTTGGCCCTCTCGCCTCTTGGTACCAGCCTCAGCCCTTTACCACCCTGCAGATGAGAGGGGTAAAAGTCCCTTACCTGGTGATACACAGACGGAGGAGATGTCACCAGTGTGGGACAGAAAGAGGTCACTCCATGGGAGAGGATTTTCTGACTAACCAGGTCAATGCCTGATTTGAAGTCATCTGTAGCCAGGGAGAAGTCCACCCCAAAGCCTCCTGCACCATGAACAAAACAGAGATGAAGCTGCAGCTTCCCAGTGGATGTTTTCCCACCCGAAAACACCGAAGCAGCATTCTGCGTGAGCAGAGAGACACTGACCAGAACCAAAGGGCTCCACCAGGACTTCTCCTGTCCTACATTTGCGAGGCTGTGCAAGTACAAGTCCAACCAATGCCATCCTCCTGAAGTGCTTTTCCCCACAGCATCCCAGTATTTTGCAAGCACCAACTTTTTATTTTGATGCAGGGCAAAATCTGAGGTTTTCCCGTTAAAGAGAGGATCTGACTCCCAACATAAGCTACCATAGAACAAAGCCCTCCTGACCCTCAGGAAAGAGCTACTGCAGGTAAGGTTTGTTCCCTTGAGAAATCCTGCTGTGTCCTCCCTGTATCCTGGGAAGAGTAGGGCAGGCATCCGGCCAGTGCAGGGGCAGGATAAAACGTTGACAAAAATGAGGTTAAGAGGAAAGCTGTGCTGGAAACCCCACCCAGCCGAAGGGGATCAACTACATGACAGCAGCAACCGTGGGCAAAATCGTTCTTTATCATGAGTGCCTCCTATCTCCCTCAAGCAGCTGAAACGTGCTTGTTCACGGGCAGTATGCACGCGGCAGGGTTTGAAGGTCTGAGATGGACGAACTTGGGATCCCCCAACTCCCTGTGAGCGCACATGGCTTCACTGTACCGTTGATCTGGACGTCGATGAAGCCGGGGGCGATGATGCTGTCCTTACAGTCCAGCTGGATGTCAGCAGAGCCCTTCTCATCGAAGAAGAGTTTCTCCGGGTTCAGGATCTTCCCCTCCCGCACCCACAGGTCCTCCCTGAAGGGACAATCACACGCACGCTGAGCTCCTGAGCGGTCTGCAGCGCTGCAGCCCGGGAGCACACAGGAGCAGGCAGCCTGGCCTCAGTGACAGGAGTGGCCTTGGGCAGAGCAGACCCCACCGGCCACCTCCGCCGCGGGCTCTCCGCTGTCTGCTGGGCAAAGCTGTCCCCAGGTCCCCCAGTGCAGCAGCGACGCGCCGGGCAGCCCTCTCTCTGCCTGGCCTCTGGGCAACGGGATTTTCATGGGCTGCCCGCCCGTGCGGTTGCGATGGCCAAAGGGCCCGGGGGCTGGCAGAGGAGGGGAGCAGAGAGGGGCCGTGCCCCACGCACCCCTCATCTCCTGCAGCAA